ACAAATTTATCTCAAATCATGGTTCGAACACCCAAAACTCAATTTTAAATTCTGTTATAAATTAAATTGAACACCAATCAATCCGTGGATTTTCATAAAATAAATATTCATCATTAAATTCTGAAATTTTTATCCAACGTGCTAGACTCATATGGGAACAACATATAAAAATTTCATAATTTTCTGAGGTCGAAAACTATTTTTAAAAAATACTACAAAACTAAACCATTTTCGCACAGAATTTACACGACAATCAAATTTGAAAATTTGCTTAATTAAGTTATGCACTGACTATTTAAAAAAAAAAAATTGGGTCATTACACTTATCTTCTCCCAAACAATAGAGTACATCACTTATCTCCTCCCAAACAAATATACATATACAATGTATTTAAAGACGTTGTCATATACAATGACTAATCAAATCACATATTCAATGGTTTAATCAAACCGTCATGTTCAATGACATAATTTACATGATTAGTTTCAATTTACAAAACTAAACTATTTTCGCACAGAATTTACACGACAATCAAATTTGAAAATTTGCTTAATTAAGTTATGCACTGACTATTTAAAAAAAAAAATTGGGTCATTACACTTATCTTCTCCCATATGTTGGGGTCATTTTGGAATTAAGTTTGAATTTCAAACCAAAATTCAAATTCCAAACAGTAAAAATTTAATTTTAGAAAAAATAAAATTCAAATGTTTTTGGCACTCAACCTCACACCACACAGCGCACCCAAGCCCAACCCGCTCGACCGGTCGAACAACGGCACGCGTGTGTGTATGTTCGTTTTGGGTCCAATAGATCTAGTCCACTTTACCCAAAACCTCATCCTTCCACAAAACTTGGGTACCCCTTGGGGCCCTCCCCAAGTTGTGAACCCAAGCCGTATAAACCCATACAATGTTAGCCTAGCCAAGCAATATGAGACAAGCTTTCATTCCTTCAATTTATGAAACCCACCAAAACACCATTTTTCCTGGAACTTACTTTGGTTTCAATTTCTCATTCACCTGATAATGGTTTTAAACAACCAAATATACTATACAAATCACAATGCGGCATAGAACGCACTACCACCAATACCCGCCAACCTCAATGCATGGGTCCCACTTAAAAAATAAACCAAAGTTTAACAAAAAAAACCTATTTTTCCAAAACCATTTTTACAATCCCCTAAATTAATGGAATTTGATAACAACGGAAATGCAACAACATGCAAAATTTGTTGAGAGAGTATAAATCGAAAATATCTTGCATCAGGATAGGTAGATTTCGGCCTTGAACCTTCCCTAGTGATAACCTATCGGACTTACTAGCTACCTAATAGACACGATGCTTTGAATTGTTCAGCCATTAGTGTAAGCCAAGACAATAGATTTCACACAAAATATCTTCTGACACATCATGGTTCTTACGGTTGTGTTCATTTTGGCCCTGACCATTCCTGATCATTAGTGCTCTAGAGAATTTAGCTGTTTCATTCTCATAGAACCGGCCCCAGTTCGACACTCATATAGGTGATTCTTATCGTGAGTATCTCACATACTCGTCTTGATTTTTATGCATAAATCAAGATATAAGTAATCATTAAAAATAAAGTTTATCCTTAAACCCCTGCATACAACACATGTTACAGATATCACTCTTACCATAGAAATGGGTTGGGAATTTTAACCCCTTACTGAGTTCTAGCGAGCCACGCATAACTTAGTTGTCCCTTTGAACTTAGTTCTTGGGATCTCTAGTCATCTGAGTAGGATTACCATTATGATGACTCTTATGTAATAGACTTTAATCACATCCCCTTCGATGAACTATACACTTGTCTTTTGGCAAACCTTTCGTTAACAGATTCGCAATATTCTCTTTAGACTTTATATAATCTATTTAGATTATTCTACTTGAAAGCAATTGCCTTACGGTATTATTTCGACGATGAATATGTCGTAATTTACCATTATACATATGACTTTGTGCCCTGCCTATTGTAGGTTGACTATCACAATCAATACAAATAGCTAGCACGAGTTTTGGCCACATTGGAATTGTAACGCCCTGGCAATACACACAATAACATACACCGATACCCTGTTCATGAACACCCACAAGATCATCTTTCTCATTGAACAAAGAGTTGAGCATTTACATTACATACATTACATACCCAATATGTTCAACATATTCTCTCTCAGTTCAGTGAACTAGACAACTTACAAAAATAAGGCCCCTTGGGCATACAACATTACAAAACATAAAAAGTAGTTCTATTACAAAAACCCCAAAATAAACACACAACGATTAAAGTCCTAGACATCAATTAGTTCCCAATAGTTGATAAAGCTAGTGCTTGAACCACTCTTTCAATGAGGCTACCCTTCATCGATTCCTGAAAAATTAGATTAGGGTTGAGCTAGATGCCCAATAGGAATACATTTATCCATGTATCTAATCCTTTGAACGAGATAATGGCATCCACGAGACAAATCGTTCTAATAAAATTTGTTTTCTTCAAAGACGGTCAACAATTCATAAGGAAGTATTTTGAGGTAATATGATAAATTTAACTCACATCATTCATGTACTACAATCAAATATCCACAAACATGAGAAATAGACCACACTCCTCTCTACATGAACCCAACCAAGAAAACAACATTTACTTTTTAAAGACAACCCCCACATTCGTCGACTACTATACAGCGGGAGGTGGGCACCCTAAGAAAATCATCCGTTTTTCCACTTTCGCCGGCTACTATACGGAGGGACTGTGTGGACACCCAAAAAACGTTTTTCCCACATTCGTCCAGCGATAAGCCTAGACAGGGCAATTGGGCACCTTTTTAAACTCCCCCGCGCGGGTACCAACACAACACTATCTCTACTCTTCACCGACACACACACAAGGACTCATGCATGTCAACAATTTAAATCACATCTTAATCCCACAGTTGAACATCAAGCATGATCATAGATAAGCAACACATAAAATTCAAAGAATCATAGCATTCAAGTCACCATCACCCTAACCACATCAATGCCCACATTTCATTTCTCCATTATTTATCCATGTTTATGATTCAAGAGGAAATTTCTGTGATGATCGGTTCCTCGTTTCCTTTGTTTTCTTTTCTTCCTCCACTTCATTCCCTTTAATTTCGTTGGATTCAAATCGTTTGGAAGCTAATTCTTTTGAATAAAATTCTCCTTCTTGTTTTTGGTTCGGTGGTGTAACTTCATCCATTCTGGGGTGGGCGCGATCGAGTCCGAGGCGTCCGGGAATTAGGTTAGAAAAATCTGGGCTGGAAAACAGGGGTCACACGTACGGGGGCCCAGGGCCACACGTGTAGGAGGCCAAGCCGTACGTGCAGAATTCAAGGGTTTATATGGCTCTCGCACTGAAATAAAGGCACGAGCGGCTGAGGTGTAGGAGGGGAGCCCCGTACATGCGGGGGTGAGAGCCGCACGTGCGGGAATGGGCACTGCACGTGCAGTCAGTCTGGACCGAAATTCTGTCTTTTTTTTTTTATACCTTTAGGGCCGAGTGATGTATCATTTTTAGGGCTTCTTCTCTCTCTAAAAGGGGCATTTTTCTCTCCCTTCTCTCTAGAAAAAACTTCCTCAAAACATTAAAAACCCTTTGAATCCTTGCAGATCTTTGGGTTAGATCATCACCTCCTTCCCTAAATCTTGAAGATCAAGCTTGAAACCCCTCTTGGTGTAGTGAAGGTTGAGGAATCCTCCATTGAAGCTAGGGTTTCACTTTCTTTCTCCATCAAACTTTGAGTTAGGGACATTCTTGAGTTATATATACATGTTTTGCGAAATTAAATGTTGATTTTTTATGTTCCCTTGGATCTATTGTGAGATTTTGGTTTTTGATTCAAGAAAGAGGAAATTTATTAAAAGAGGGTTAAAGTTTCTATATTGATTCTTGAAAACTTGTATTTATTCCCCACCAAAGATGATCTTGATGAACTTCACCATGAAAATGAGAGATGTTTTGGGCTTGGGTGAATACCCTAGAAAATTTGGGAATTTTGAAAGAAAACGAGGGAATGTTTATGAATTCTCCATTTGTCTTGTATCAAATGATGAAGGAAAGTAAATTTACTTACATGTTTGGTGAGTTCCCAAATTTATTTGAAGCATGAGAAATGAAATGTTGGTTTTATATATTTGTCAAACACTTGAACTTGCATTATTGAGTAGTGGTAAAAGTTGTGTACCATAAAGTGGAAAGTGTAAGATCATGAGGATTGATGTCGAGAATGTCACATGTAGACTTAGAGAGATTAACTTGGCGTGAATTGTGTATGATTAAATGTAGCTATTATAACTGTGTTGGTGGCATATGGTTATCTTGTGGGAGGACATGGAAAGAAGGAAGTGAAATGTGATTTTTGATATTGTAGTAAAGATATTTTGAAAATAGAGTAATATTATGGAGTAGTAAGTATTGCATCATGTTTTCAAATATTTTATTATCATCATTGTTCATCTTGACATAAGTTGGAAGATGTTTACATTGAGAAAGATTACACTGTAATAAGAATTGTGAAAATGTGAAATGGGGTAAATACGAGGTAAGTCTAGATAGGGGGTGTAGTTGAACTTGATAAGTTGGCCTGAGTATCCTTGGTGAAAGACCAGAAAGCCGTGCGAATAGGTGTCGAGCCTTCTTATTAATACCGGTAAAAATGAAAATTCGGTAGTACTTGTAGAGTCTACTTGCAGACACCAGCCTAGGGATTACCAGTGTCATATTTACTGCCCCTATTGATTAAAATTGGAAGTTTGTTTGAACGTGTTGAGATTGCTAACCTATATTGAAAGTAGAAATTTTAAAAGAGTATGAAATGGAAATTTTCTTTGAGAACGCATGGCATAGCATAACCATTTGCATTTTTATTGAAAATTGCATAAGTGTATATACTTTGTTAGAATTCTCTACTGGGCTTTATGCTCACCCCTATGGGACTTGGTGCAGGTAAAGACGTGGTGATCCTGCCAAGTTGAGAGTGCGGATAATTGCAAAGAGTACATAGCTCTTATTTTTGTTATGATATTTTTGTAAAGCCAAGGGCTAATGTGTATGGGTCCGAGAGACCATTTTGGTGTAACCAGGCTATTTCCTTGGAATTTATAAGCCCTTAAGGGCATTTTATTGTTTGAGAATAGATGCTCTGCATGTGAAACTTTTGTGTAATCTCATTTATCATGTAAGAGATGAAAGGTTTGCTATCATGTTTTAGTGAATATTAATTTATGTGACTGGTTCATGTTGAATTATTTTGGGGGCGTTACAATTTCATTGTACCAAGTAATTCCTATTAAATTAGAAACTTAGGGTTTTACCCAATTTGGGGTTTCTCATGCTGTGTCACTAATCTAATTTATCAATAACATTTCTAATCATTTTCGAAAGGAAGATATGAAAGATTTCTAACCATTGATGAACAAAAGAATAAAATGAGGAACTATGGGCTCAATATCATCAAACCATCAATTAGTCGAAAGAGAGAGAGACTCTCGGTTTTGAGAAGAAAATGAGGAGAAAATTATGAGAGAGGTGGGGTTTGGGTCTATTTATAGTATTAGATGATAGCTCTAAGGTCAATGAAAAAGATAAGCCCAAAAACCCCAAAAAATAGGGCCTATTCGGAGCCCAAAATTTTGAAAAAAACTCGTAGGGGTCGACCCTTTGATAGGAGAGGGTCGACCCTATTTTCCAACATCTAACACAGAAATTCTGCAACACAAGAGGGTCGATCCTCCCCAGACTGGTGTCTACCCTATTTTCCAGCAACACCTCTAGGAACTTCTCCAACAGGTAAGGGTTGACCCTTAGGGAGGCTAGTGTCAACCACAAGGCAAAATTTTTAAGTTTCCAAGGAACTTTTGACAAGAACAAACGCGAACAAACAAACCCAACGAGTTTAAATCGGATTGTACTCCTTCAAAACCAATAGACAACAACTCCAAAGATTCCCAAAACAAAATAAAGATATTAAACACACCTTCCAATATATTAAAACACCCAAGTGTTACAAGAATGCCTACTAAAAAGTGGCGAAGTCATTCTGCTTCTTCTCCTACTTTGTCTAAAACAATGAACTAAGATTCCATTGTGGATCGTGCGATGCATGTTTGTTTCGTGAATTTCCAAGAAACAACAGCGCCCTCCAGAGTAAAGACATATCCACTAGTGGATTTTGAATCTTTAGTATCGGATATCCAATTGGTGGCATCACAATAACCTTTCAGTACTGCAGGATATCGAGTAAAGTTCAAACTATGATCACGAGTAAATCTTAGATATCTAAGAACCCAAATGATCGCTTTTCAATGGTCTTCTTCAGGGTTACTAGTGCACTTACTCAATTTATTAACAGCATAAGCTATATCAAGACGCATACAATTCATTAAGTACATTAGGCTTCCAATGATTTGGGAGTATTTTAACTGAGACACTGCATCACCTTTATTTTTCGATAAATAAAAACTGATGTCTAGGGGTGTTCTTGTTACATTCGCATCATCCTTGATATATTTACCAAGGATTTTCTCAACATAATAAGATTATGATAATACATATCCATCAGATATTTTAGTAATTTTCATTCCTAATATAACATCTGCGACTCTCATATCTTTCATATCAAATCTTTTGTTCTGCATTTGCTTGGTTGATTTGATCATATTTTTACTACTTCCAATGATAAACGTGTCATCTACATAAAGACAAACAATGACATAACCTTTGTCAGTGTTTTTAATAAAGACGCACTTATTACATTCGTTTATTTTAAACCCATTAGTAAGCATAGCGTGATCATATTTTTCATGTCATTGCTTAGGAGTTTGTTTTAACCCATAAAGAGATTTTACAAACTGACAAACTTTCTTTTCTTATCCTGGCACTACAACCCCTTCGGGTTGCTCCATATAGATCTCTTCATTTGGATCACCGTTTAAAAAAGTTGTCTAAACATCCATTTGATGTATCTCTAATTTATAAAATGTTGTTATAACAATAAGCATGCGGATGGATGTTATTCTTGTCACGGGAGAATATGTATCAAAATAGTCCAGACCTTCATTTTATCTGTAACCTTTTACCACAAGTCTTGTTTTATACTTGTCTATTGAACCATCTGCTTTCATTTTTCTCTTGAATATCTATTTATACCCAAGAGGTTTAGAACCAAGTGGAAGATCCACCAATTCCCAAGTATGATTTTGCATAATGGATTCAATTTCACTGTTAACAGCCTCTTTCCACAAAAGTGCTTTAGGACCTATCATTACTTTCTTAAAGCTCTAAGGCTCATTTTCTAACAGGTATGTCAGAAAATCTGGACCAAAGGATTTTGATATTCTCGCTCTCTTACTTCATCATGATTCATCATTAGTTAAATCCTGTTGGTCGAGACCATTACTAGTCTCTTACGTTTAATTGTCATTAGTCTCTTGACTTTGTGTATAATCATAAGTTCTTTCCTGTGAACTTAATTCATGTCTTTTCATGTAAGGAAAAATATGTTCAAAAAACACAGCATTTCTTGACTCTATAATAGTGTTCACATGTATATCAGGTATTTCTGATTTATAAGTCAGAAACCGATATGCACTACTATTATGCACATAACCAATAAGCACACAATCCACTGTTTTTTGTCCTATCTTACTCTTTTTCAGAACAGGAACTTCTACATTTGCCAAACACCCCCACACTTTTAAGTATTTGTAGGAAGATGGTCAACCTTTCCACAATTCATAAGGAGTGTTGTTAGTTTTCTTGTGTGGTATCCTATTGAGGACATAATTAGCAGACAAAATTGCTTCCTCCCACAAGTTTTGCGATAAGCCTGAACTTAGTAACATGGAATTTATCATTTCTTTAAGGGTTCTATTCTTCCTTTCAGCAATTCTATTTTACTGTGGGGAATAAAGTGTTGTTGTTTGGTGAATAATGCCATGTTGTGCACAATATTCATTTAAAGGTTCATCATATTCACTACCCCTATCACTACTAACCATTTTAATGGTTTTACCAAATTGATTTTCAACTTCAGTTTTGTAGAGTTCAAACGTTGCCAAGGCTTCATCTTTACTTCTAAGTAAATATACATAACAATATCTTGTACAATCATCGATAAATATTATGAAATACCTTTTGCCTCCTCTAGTTTGAACAAATTTACGATCACACACATTAGTATGAATTTATTCTAGAGGTTCGATTCTTTTTTTTTTCAACCGATTTAAATGAAGCCTTAGTTAGTTTTCCTTCTACACATATCTCACATTTGTGATTAGGATCAATTTCAAACTTTGGTATATAATCCAAACCAATTAGTCTACGCAAAGCATCAAAATTCAAATGTCCTAATCTACCATGTCATAAATTGGACTCAAGAATATAAGCAAAAGATGTGTTACTCTTATTAATAATAGATTTTGGTACAATAGTCATTACATTCAACTTGAAGAGACCATCGCTCATGTATCTCTTACCCACATACATACCACTTTTTGTTAATACAAACTTATCAGATTTAAATACAAGTCTAAAACTATTTTTACTTAACAAAGAACCAGAAACTAAATTCATTCAGATGTCTGGTACATGCAGTATGTTGTTAAGGATAAGTTCCTTCCCCGATGTCATCTTCAAGATAACTTTCCCTTATCCAGCCACAGCAAAAGTAGACGAATTTCCCATGAATAGTTGTTCACCATTTGTAACCTCATTAAGTATTGAACATCTTTTTGTCCGCACAAATGTGCCGAGTTGCCCCAGTGTCGACTGATGGGTCGTTGAACACACCAAAATTAAATACTAAACTATACCAAATTCAATAAGAATAATGGCAAGTCCAGGTATCGATCCACAGGGACTATTGTGAAATTAAACTAATTTAATTGTTAAAATCATTTCATATATGTGCACTGCCGTTGCACAGCAGCCGGCTTTTGGTCAATTCGGTGTGTACTTTGGGCAGAAAATAATTATTATTATTATTTTTTTTGGTGAATAGTGATATCTTTTTAGATTTTGGAGTAACTTTTTGACTTTTTAACTTATTTAGGATAAGCCAAACCAGCCCTTACAGTTTTTCAGAATGTATGATATTTTTCGGGGGGTTTTCTCAAAGTTACATTTCATTTATGGAACATGCGTATGTGTTATATATTTCTATTACATACTTGAAATACAATTATGTTTTTTTAAATATTTTTTTTATGTTTTCTTGTGTGCTTTTGTTTTTGTTTTTTCCTACTTTGGTAGTTGCTTCTTTATGATTTTTAAATGTTTGTTAGTGCTTGTGGCCCGTAGCAGTACAATAAGGAAAAGGGTTTGCTGTATTTTTCTTACATTCGCACACACGTGTTTTAGAACCTTAGGTCAAGCACTTCCATTACCTCCATTTTGCTTGATGAACATGACATCTACATAAATTTTAAAAACAAAAAATAAAAAAAAAATTATTTATAATTAAATCAATTACTCAAAAGCTAATAATAACAATCATACTATATACATATATGATTTCTAAAATGTAAATTAAAATAAAATAATATATAAATAAATTATAGTAGCTCCCCTGGAGATCTTCTTCTAGATGGGTTCCTCTGGGTCGGTTTGTTGGCAAACAACCACTACAAGAAAAAACACAATAGCCGACCAAATTTCCCGACTAAAAAGAATTTGGTCGCTGAAAGTATAGCTTTCAGCGACTAAAAAATAATTAGTAGCCAATTGTGAAGCTTTTTGGCGACTAAACAAATTTAGTGGCCAAAAGGCTACAATTGGCGACTAAAAATAAGTTTGGTCGCCAATTATATGGGTTTTACCGACTAAAACATTTTTAGTAGCCACAAGTATAGTTTTCGGCAACAAAAAAAATTTAGTAGCCAAAAAGTCAACAATTGCCGACTAATTATAATTTTGGTAGCCAATTATATGGGTTTTACCGACTAAAACATTTTTAGTAGCCAAAAGTATAGTTTTCGCCGACTAAAAAAAATTTAGTAGCCAAAAAGTCAATAATTGCCGACTAATTATAATTTTGGTCTCCAATTATGTGGGTTTTTCCGACTAAAACATTTTTAGTAGCCAAAAGTACAATTTTTGCCGACTAAAAAAAATTTAGTAGCCAAAAAGTCCACAATTGGCGACTAATTCTATGTTTGGTCGCCAATTATGTGGGTTTT